ATTGTCTATTTATTCATTTACTAATCAAATTTATATGGACATCCATCTCATGGAATGTGACTCTGGACAGCATACAACAGTCCAGTAAAAACAGTAAATAAATTGTTCCTTTTCCAGTAACAGTAAAATAAACCAATAAAATAAATTGTCCTTTTCTAATTGTTACTAAACTCCTAGCTAAGTTCCAAGCTTCAGGCAGAACTCCCACCAGGATATGCTGCTAACCATATTCTGGTTAGCTTGTGGTCCAGGCAGTTAAATGATAATCCTCTTGCCACTTGTAATAGCTGCCAATCTCCAAATGTCACCTACATTTTTCTATCTGTATGCCATTTGCTTATTACCTTTCCTCTTACACTTCTCCCCATTTGTTTTTAGCATTTACTTTTGTAAGGTAAGGGCCTGGATAGGTTAAGGCTTCCCCTGGACATCAGCACATCCCTGAAAACACAAGGGTATGACAGTTATCATAGGCAGCTGCAATGGTGGCTTGAATGCTTGTGAGTGAATGTATGAACTCAAGAGGAACATAGAGATGAGAAGCATTTCTGCCTGGCTGCAGTAGCTTTTCCAAAGCCCCCCAACTTCATTGCCTTACATACCTATAAATGTTTTAAATCAAAACAGAAAAATATATACTACTTTTTACAGTAGTATGACCACCTGACCATTATGGTCTTTGAGGATCCCAATCACAAAAAGGTTGATAGGCATTTTGCTAGACCTTTCTCCAGAGTGAAGTTCTTGAGAGGCAATGACTTCATATAGGTAGATTCACTTACCAATTGCCTTGTTCAGCGACTGTTCAAAGTTACAACAGTACTGGAAAAAATCCATTAAACCAATGTCCACATTTATAATGTTTGCCACATCCCCGGTCATGTGATTCCCATTGCAATACATACTGTCTTATGCCTGATCTATTTTCTTTTTGTTCCCCTCTCCTTGCAAAATAGAGATTAGAGAGGAAGAGATTACAAGAAAGTAAGCAGGCACACAATGGGAAATCCATATCAAAAGGAATGCACTAGTGCAGGCATTCAGCCAGTCTGTTTGCTTACTCTCTTGTAATCTCTTCCTCTCCAATCTCTCCACACTGCAAAGGGAGAAAAGGGGGGGGGAGAGGGAGAGGCCTATAGAGATCACCTGTGGTTCTCCTCCCCCCCACACTTGTTGAAGCGATCTCTCTGCCCTAAGAAGGGAGAGGACCAAAAAAACAAACAAGCAATCTCTTTATGCAGTCTCTCCTTTGCCTTACCCATCTCTATTCCACCAAAGCAAAGACTGGAGATAAAGGGATTAGAAGAGAGTAAACAGGCATACAATGGGGAATATACTGGCTGTTTGTCTAGCATGCTTATGTTCCCAGAACGAAGCATGTTTAGAGTTGCCAATGCTACTGGATTCCTTTCAATGTATATTCCTCATTGTGTCTGCTTATTCTCCTGTAACCCCTTCCTCTCCAATGAATGTAAATACAAACATTAATTCTCTTCTTGCTAATTACCTAGCACCAGGGTGAGCATTCCAAAGGGAAAAAAGGGAAAGCTGAAGTAAAATGTTAGAAGGAAAACAAAAGCCTAAGATGTGAAACTGATTACATAATCTTGTCAGTTACAAGCAACAGCTGTAAGCCAGGGTGAGCAGTCCTGGTCACATGATTTCCTACTAGTAGTCCCAACTGAGATTGCTAAATCAACTGTGGCTGCTAAATACATAAATGTATGTGTAATTCTGATATAATCTGAACTGACTAATTTCATTTTAAGGCACCTGATGCTTCTGGACAACCAAGTACAGATTTCTTTTAGCCTTATATATAAGAAATCTTTATTTGTGTAAGTTAATATATTTGCATTTGAAGAATGGACTAGGAGAATAGACTTGGAGAATATGCAGTACCACGATCTCCCTAAAATATGCAGTACCATGATCTCTACCTAAGTTATGTCCCTTTACAAACAACTGAATATAAGTCTAATAAATAAAAACATGTGATTTCCTCTACACCCCATACAATTAATGACTTCATTCAGATTAGGGTTAGGCAGGAGATACACCACTTAATTTTAATATGATTACATTGTAAACTCTGTAGTACAACTGCCACAGGTAAAGTGAGCAGCAAAGCCCATGTAAGTTTTGACAGCACCCTAGCCTGCCTATAAAGGGCTGATCAGAATTACTGTTGTTTTCTTAAAGACTCACCCATTAAAGTTGCTTGTCACACCTGCACTAAAGGGTTCCGAGACCCACTTTGAGAATCTCTGCTTTAGGGGACTGCATACTTGAGCAATCATTTTTGTACTCTATGAATAAATGACAGGATTAGCTCCTCTACTTTGGAGACTTCAAGTAATTCAACCTAGGCAAGGAAAAATGGCTTTAGTAACAAAAACCTATGTTTATATCACTACATGGGTGAAAGTGCAATGCAATCCATCTAGGGTTGTCTTGAAAGATATTTTGGAAGTTATACTTGGTAAAGAACACAGCAGCCTGAATTCTGTAAATAGTATAAAAGCCACTATTCCATAATAAAACCTTATTTTTATAATTGCACCACTAGTTGCCAACAGATTTCTAGAAGAAGTGCTGGTCACCACCTTTAAGGCCCTATACAGCGTGACACTGGTTTATGTTATGGATTGTATTGCTTTATAGGATTTTCATTGATGCATTCTTTGAAAGACAGCCTACTTAAGATCCCAACTATGCAAAAAAACTGCGAGGACCATAGAATAGAAAATGAGGCAATCATCTTCTGTGATTGCCTCAGTATTCTGGAATACATTGCCTCCAGAATTCTTAATACTTTCAATCCTGGCATTCAGGAAGGCACTAAGGCACTTTACTTGGCACCTGCATGATTATCCCATGGCTCTTTTTAATCATGATTTTATGTAAAAAGATATTTATTTTACTAAGATATTTTATGTCGATATTTTAGGATTGCCACTTCTCAAAAATTAACCTTAATATACTCAATTATGGCCTGACAATCTAGTTCTGTAATTATTTATACTATCAAAGTATCCATAAAAGCCACACTGCTTGTGCATAATTATTTTAACTCTGTTTTACCATGTATGGAACTGACAGATTTTTTTTTTAAAGACATAATTCTTAGATCCACATCAACATAAAGAAGATCTAAAAATTGTGTTAAAAGAAAGCTTGATACAGAATAAAGCAAGTGACTGATAGTCAGCCTGCAATTATCTGAATCCTGCACTGGTTGAATACATTGTACTGAATTGCTAAACAAGCTCTTTCATCTGTATCAAGGTCTAATACCTATGTACATTAATTAAAGGTATGTAGTCATTTACCACAAACAACTAGTACTAACACCCTATGATATAATTATAAAAAGTTCTTACATTGATGCTGAACATTTCAATTAAGAAACAGGTTCTTGTAAAATCATAAAACTGCAATAGAACCATCTGTATCAGAATTGGGCAGATCCACGTTTTGGAACAATATGTGGCTTTAGCTTTATTTTACACATTCATTAGTGTCCCCAATTTTGTCTCTTTCTTATTCTATTCCACATTCCAGATCTAAAGCTATGGTTTGTTAAATAAGCCACACAAGCATATTGCACAGAGATAAAAACCATAATTTACAAATACTGGAGATCATCTAGTGTTTGAACCCAGACTCTGTGTCACCAAAATGAAGGAAAATAAAGCAAGAGGCACATGCATATACTCAGTGCTTTTTTTCTTTAAAAAAAAAAAAGGTGCCAGAATTCACACACCTCATACAACCTACCTTGCCTCCCTACAAGGTTCTATCCCAAAAAGGTGCCGGAACTCCGTTCTGGGCGTTCTATGAGAAAAAAAGCCCTGCATATACTCCAATTTCAAACATAATTTCCTTGCTAAAGTAGTGCACCACCCTTAATAAAGATGTTTTAACTCCTGTGTTCCATCTTTTGAGCTCTTCTTTTTTTACCCCACTGTCTCCCACTACTCTGGAAAGATGCAATGAGCCAGAGCAGTCAAACTTCAGGAGAACTAGAAACCAGAGACAGGATTGGACCAAGGTCCCACCTCCGCTACCTTCACAAAGGACATTTTTCTTCCAATGGATTTCATGCTTTTCTTAACATTTATTTTCCCTGAAAGGAAAAAAGCTCTACAGTAGTGTTATACTGATAGTCCTGCAGTTATATCCATTCATTCACCAATTGTTCAAAGTTAAGACTGTACTGAAAAGTTATGACTAGTCCTCAAAATTCCAGCCATCACAGCACCCTGTCATCACACAATAAAAATTCAAGCTAGCCAGCATATATGGTCACCTCCACCCACTTGTGCTCCCTAGTATCCAGCTGTACCCCTCCTCCTCTCCAACTCTCACCAATGGTCCTTAGCACATGCTCATGGCCCTCCCCTGCTTACAGCTCTCACCCACCCACCAGCCTGCTTGCTTGGTACTCCTTCCTCTGCTCCCGCTGCAATCATGTGAGGTTCTCACATAATGACCTATGCAGTCCTAAGGTTACAACGGCAACCAGGACTGCCAGAATTTCCATCATTAAGTAGTGTGACTGTAAAACATGACATCACATGAATGTTTTTACAACATTAACCCAAAACATGACAATACAGAATGGAATGGAAGCTGTAATTAAACAAAAACACAAAAAGGTTCTAAAAACCCAGAGTTTACATAAAATAAATCAACTGTTCAAAAGTAGTTTATAACCAGGGCTTTTTTTCTCATAGAATGCCCAGACATATGCATTTAGTACTGTATTCCCCCCAAAATAAGACCTAACCGGAAAATAAGCCCTAATGCGTCTTTTGGAGCAAAAATTAATATAAGACCCAGTATTATTTTTGAGGAAACACAGTTATGTGTCTTATTCCATATTTAATGTCATATCTGCTGTCAAAATTAGCCTCAGTTTAATTCATAACCTTGCTTATCTATTTTATTTGCCTTAAAGCAGACAACTGACATATTATAAAAGCAAAATGTGTTACCTCCTTTTCATGTATTCGGAATAATGCTTGTTCATCTCGAGAAGTGCTGTTTTTCCCCATACCTAACTTGGGTGACATCTATTATAAAAAATAATATTTTGTATTTAACACCAGTGTTAACACAGAGAAAAATTATTATAACAAGATAACCAAAAATAGGCGAACGCTACGTACCAATGAGAGAGACATAGGTTTCTCACGTAAATATCTAGGATTTTCAAGCTGAAAAAGATACATTAAAAGAGGTTTAATGTGAAGACTTTCTGAAGTGATAAATTCTAGATCAGTGATTATTTACAAGATGAAGATATTTAAAGGGTTTGTGCTTAGTTTCTGACAGAGACATCTTTAAAAAATCTCATACTAGGTTCATGAAACCAACAGCTTAGCTTTAAGAGTCACAGTCCCTCAAGCAAATCTTCAAAGTTACTATGAAGTAAAGAGGAAAAGTAAGATATAAATGGAATGAAAATAGTTTATATTTAAAACAGAGAAACAAAGAATCACAAAATGAGAGATACTCCTCTCTTGATGCAGGTTATGATATCCCAAAGAATATTTTGAGAAGCAACATTTTAACGTCTATTTATTTATCTAATTTTTCTCAATGGTAATATACATTTATTTATTTTATTTATTTATTTATGAGACTTATATACCGCTTTAAGTGCAAGCACTCTCTAAGCGGTGTACACCAGTAAGCAATGTATATATGTATGTATGTATGTATGTATGTATTATATATATATATATATATATATATATATATATATATATATATATATATATATATATATATATATATATATATATATATATATTTACATTGCCCCCAACAATCTGGGTCCTCATTTTACCTACCCCGGAAAGATGGAAGGCTGAGTCAACCTTGAGCCGGTGAGATTTGAACCGCTGACCTGCTGAACACAGTCAGCTAAAGTGGCCTGCAGTACTGCACTCTAACTGCTGCGCCACCTCGGCTCAGTTTTTTCTGGCTTTTCTTATACTTCAACTCACTCTTTTAACCGGACAACATCTCTGAGATATAAACTGAAAGACTATGAATGATTCATAGTGAGTACATCTGTCAACTCATAGAATTATTCTTTTTACATCTTTGTTAAACAGCCCAATAATTTTACTTAAACACAAAACCCACTGTTTCATTTGTTGAAACAGTGCAATTATGCAAGTACAGACTGATGCAACTAACACCTTTTGCAAATATCTACAAAATGTTTACTTATTTGTTATTTTTAAAAAGTAAATCAGCAATTCTGGATGATTTCCAATATATGCAGACAAAAGTACAATGACTCTTAGATAATCAATGAAATTAAATGCTAGCATGAATATAAAGCAAAATTTCATCCAGCAACTTGGAAGGCATGTTGTAGGTGCTACCTATTTTTTTCCTTCATAACATTTTATTCTGTGTGCATCTGGTGAAATGATCCACAAAAATTCAGTTGATAATAAAAATTGGTTGAACTTCAAGGTGCCTCCAACTCTAATTTTGCTGTAGAAAATCATTTTGTATATTTTGTACCTGTCATATCTTCAAACTATTTTTGTTCTGCTTTTATTTTTTCTGCTATTAATTAATCTTGAAGCTGCCACAAAACTCTAATTCTGTTGTAGAAAACTAACCCAACTATACCCTAGAATTTATAGCTGCTTTGTATGGTTTTCTGAAAAATATATATTTGAAGAACTGCAGTATTATTAAAGAAAATGTAATTTGTATAAGATAAAACTTTGAAATGGAAAACACAATATAGTTTGCCTCCATTATATCCCAAAACTATTGTATCATGCTAAACACTTAAGGATTGAAATGTTTTGACATGGTATCTATTGGCTTGGATAAACTAAAGAGTCTAATTTCATGAATCTTGAATCCTTCTGGATTTTTCATCATCTTATCTGGGATGACAATGAAGATGCTTAAAGGGAAGGGGTGAAGGCTCTGGTGGACCGGTGCAATAAAAGTAACCTGATTTTAAATGATGATAAAACAAAGGAGATCATTGTAGATTTTAGAAAGAGCCGGCATAGTCATACTCCACTCAGTATCAAGGATGCAACTGTGGAGGTGGTCAACAGTATTAAGTATCTGGGGGTGCAGATAACTAACAATCTGACTTGATCTCTCCACACCTCATCCTTAGTGAAGCATGCAAACCAGCGTCTGCATTTCCGGCTCGGATGAGGAGAGCACATCTTTCTCCGTCTGTCTTGGCCACTTTTTACAGAGGCACGATTGACAGCATTTTAACAAACTGTGAGCTTCCGGTACGTGGCGGCGATGATGGCGGCTACCTTGTAGCCGTCCAGCTGGGAAGGTGTTAGAGCCGCAGAGCACAGCGCGCACCAGCTGACCCGCGGTTCGGAATCCCCTTCCCGGGCAAAGGGAAGGGGTAGAGAACGCAGGAGTAGAGGTAGAACCCCTGAACCCCCTCTGGATTTTTTCCTTGAGGGGGTGGAAGGAGCGTTCCCTCGGAGCTCCTGCTGATCTCCGCCTCCCAGCTGTTTTTGCTTCTTCGGAAGCAAAAGGAACCGCCGCTTCTATCTCCGCGGTTAAAGAATCTCGGTGAGTAACTTTTGAAGCGGACAGAGCGGTTTAAAGGATTTCTTTTTATAGTTTAGTGTTTTATTTTCTTCTTCTAGTTAGTTTTGGTTGTTTCTCCTTTGTTCTTTTTTGCTGGCACGGAGAGAGAAAAAGATGGCACTTTGAAAGTGTTCGGCTTTTTTTTTTCCTTTGTCTCTTTGTTCTTATTTTTCTTGGAAGGTAATGGACTTAAATGACTGTTTTTGATTTCCTTGTTCTCAGCTTTGGATCTTTTTTTGATTTTTTCTCTTTTTTCTTTTTCGGAATTCTAAGGATTACAGTATTTTTGTTCCTTTTAATTTTTATCTCCCCCTTCCCTTTTTTTGGGGAGAAGGGAAGAGAGAACTGTGTTTTAAAAAATGGCTTCAAAGAGACAACCGCCTTCTATACTACCCAAGGTGGTTTCCTCTCCCACAACTTTAACCATACAACAACAACAACAACCTAAACATGTACCACCGACCCAGCCACCACCTTCCCCTCCTTTGCCAGGCCTGTCTGCACAAGAGATTAAAGACATAATGGGAGATGCTGTATCTCAAATTAGAGATGAAATGAAGCAACTTGTTGTACAGATTAAATCTGAAATTAAAGTGGAATTAAATGAAATGAAGGACTCATTAGAGGATAATAATACTATTATGCGGCAAGATATAGTTACAGCCTTATCAGGTTTGGCTTCTGTGGTGGTGAAGCTGGACTCGAGAGTGGAGGAAGTTGCAGACAAAGTTGACTTTTTTGAGGATAAATTTCAAGATATGGAAAAGAAGATGGTGATTTCACAAGAAGATATCCTTATGTCTCAGTATAGGGAGATGGAGCATGCCCTGAGGATCAGGGGTCTGAAGGAGGACATGAATCAAGATTTGATGGAGATGGTGCTTAATGATTTAGCTGTTGCTTTGAATATGGATAAAGGAGAATTACGCAGAGAAGTGGAAAAAATTTATAGAGTTAATTCCTGGATTGCGAAGCAGAACTTGCCTAGAGATGTTGTGATTTATTTTACAAAGAAGTCTCTGCGTAATGAAATTATACAAGCTTTTTATAATAAGAGATTCCATATTGCTGCCCAAGATGTTATCATTCTAAAGGAAATCCCATCAAAAATTTTAAGAAACAGGAAAGATTTTGCTTTCTTAGCTAATGAGTTTAAAGCTAGATTGATGCCATTCAGATGGGAGATTCCGACGGGCATTGCTCTGAGCCATGCGGGGATGCGTCACAGGCTGAACACGGTTGATAAAGCTAAAGAGTTTTATAATACGGTCCTGGGTGCAGGCTCAGCTTCATCTGTTCAGAAGCTCTTGAGTGGTAAAGAGCTGGAACAGCAACCTGAAACATTAGGTCTGGTCTCTGCTGGGAAGATGCAAGCTGAATGGCAACGTCAAACAGAGGTTAAAGAGCAGAGGATGACCCGTGCAGCACATAGACGTAAGGAAAAGGAGCAACAAAAGAAAGAAATTAAAGAATCTTCTTCGGAAAGTGCTTCATTGCCGGTGGGAGGAGCAAGACCCAAGAGTTCTGCAACACATACAGCAATGGCAGACCTCCAGGTAGTCTTCTCCAGGCTCCTGGTCAAGGGAGATGGCAAAGTTTCTGACCTGGAATGTTAACGGTCTAAATTCCCCTCAGAAAAGAAAGAAAATCTTTTACTACTTAAAGCAACATAACAATGATGTTATTTGCCTACAGGAAACTCATATTTTACTTAAAGATCAAAAATATTTAGTTAATGCCCGTCTGGGATCTCATTTTGTATCTGCAGCTCCTGGGAAAAGGGGGGGGAGTGGTTATTTATGTGAAGCAAAATTTACCAGCTTGTCTGGTAGAATCAGATCCCCAAGGAAGATATGTAATGATTGAACTTGGTTTATATGGTAAGAAAATACTTATAGTGGGACTTTATGCACCAAATCAGCAACAGGAACAATTTTATAGATTGTTACATCAAAAAATAACTTTGCTGGACTATAGATCCGTGATATTAATGGGTGATTGGAATGGTGTCTTAGATATACAAAGGGACAAGAAAGGTTCTTCTCCTCTTTTTAAACAGGCAAAACTACCTAAAGCCTTTTTTGACATGAAAGAGGACTGGGAACTAAGAGACTATTGGCGGGAATGTAATCAAGAGGAGAGAGACTTTACCTTCTTCTCAGATAGACACCAATCCTTTTCAAGAATTGATTTCTTTTTGATTACAACGGATTTATATAATAGAGTAAAGAATGTAAAGATTTTTCCTAGATCGCTGACGGATCATAGTCCAGTTTGGACGGAGCTGACTCAAGAAAAAGAGGAGAGAAGATCCTGGAGGGTGAATGAGAACTTATTTAGACAAGAAAAGAATGTTCAAAAGTTAAAGGAGTGTTTAAAGGATTATTTTGCTTTGAATATATATAAGGGGACTTCAATGTCAATGGTATGGGATGCAGGTAAAGCATTTATGCGTGGGATTTTGATAAAAATGAATAACTTTCATAGGCAAAAGCAGATTCAGAAACGTAAAGAATTGGAAGATGAGATCAAATTAAAAGAAAAGTTTTTGATTTTAAATCCTTCAGATGAAAGGATTAAAGAATCTATAAAGTTGCTAAGAACACAATTT